GATTGAGGTTACTTATCACCATTGATGTCATTGACGCCACTACCATCTGCAAAGGAAGAGTTTATTTGAGCAGAACTGAAATTGGTCAAAGATAGATTACAAGTTGTTTAACGTACGTTTAAAACTGTGTCTTTAACGTCAAATCTGCTCTCACTAGCCTTCAATCTAAGATGGTTGCGGATCTCTTGGTCCATGTTTCCTATCATCTTTTGCTTCAAACTCTCAGCGCCAAGAAGATGTTGAGTAATTTGTTTGAGGTGCTTATGTATGTCCCCGGGCTTGAAGAACAAATTATCTTTTCCAAGTACCTTGACAAACATGTCTGGATAGCCAAGCGCGAAAGACTTGTTCTCTTGCCGGAAAATCTCGAAGATAACATCTGGTTCCGTCGAAAACACAGTTTTGGAACAAAAAATGTTCGTACGAAACAACGGCCCATACCTGAAATATTTTCACATATGTAGCACCGTATATACTAACGTTTTTTCTCGTTTAAGTAAGAAAAATGTACAGAGGCAATGAAATCTAATTACCTTAATAATCTCTTCTTGAGAAAGGGTGGAATCTCGTAGAATCCATAAGGCTTAAAGAAATGGATTGTTTCTCCGATGATCGGGAAACCCATTGATCCTGGAGGTAACTTGCCGATGCACTTAGGTTTAGTGTTCGACCATCGGTACAACCAGTGGCTGATGCTCACAACCACTAAAGCTATGACCAACGACGCTACTGTCCACATGAAACTCATCCTGCTCTGCCTCTCAAGAGTTGGCCTTCGTTGCAACTTTCATTGATATTAAATAAAGAAAATATCCCACATGTGTAATTGTAGCTTTTTGTGATTCCGAAACAGAGTGTTTGTTCTTTTTTTTTCTTAACGATTTTTTTTTCCCTATAACAATATTTATTATTTGTACTATAGAGCTTGTAGATTGTTTACCAACGGTTAGGATCATTTAATTAGGTCTGTATATATACTTATCCACCAATAACAATTAATCGCATAAGTATCATAGTTAGCCGACTGTTTTCTATAATTCCAATATGTTCCTAATAAGTTTTATGTGGCGTTGTTAGCGAGGATAATATATGAAATTATAAAAGTATAGATAGTTCCCACATATATTTTCTATTTTCTTGTTGTCCACATTATCTACAGATAAATTGAACTATCTGTCTCCTTTAAATTTTGAATTGTTTCCACTTTCAACCTCTATTAGTTTTCCAAAGAAGTTATAAAGATTGAGAAACCTGCTTATAGTATTATCTTCTAATGTAGAGGCCAGAGATTGTGTTGGCAGATCAATTGAAACTCTGTTCTTTGTCATACTGCTGTCAAATTCTTTGATTTGTCTACTAAGAAAAATCTTGTTTCTTTTTGCAAACAAATGATCCAAAGAAAAACTTTCATCTTATTATCATGTGAATAAAACTGAAGATGCTTATTATACATTGGAAAGCTAATTAAAGAGGCTTATACATAGTAAAATAGTGGTGATGATAAGATGCAAATGTGACCAAACCCTTACAGACGCAGAGCTTGAGTATAATATGTGAGTGCCCAGAGAGTGAACATGTTCCTATATGTTGGATAATGTAGCAGCACATTCATCTTAAACACTCCTCTTATTTCCTGCAAATTTATGTAAAGATTTTTTTTTAAAAAGTTATATTCAATGTTTGGCATAGTGAACTCGAATATGACCAAGTGATTATAATTACCTCTTGTGGAAAATCGCCATTATCCAACTGCGAATTTATCAACACTTTCGCAGCACGATGAACCGGCAAAGGGTCTCTCTTCATCTGACCACCCATAATTAGACCCATCAGTGCTTGTGATGTATTCACCACATTGGTTTTGTTTCCTTCTAAAGGAGTATATTTTTTGTTGGGGCAAGAGAGATAACTCTCACCCCAACCGCCTTCAATGTTTTGTGTCTCGAGAAGGAACTGAACCGCTCTATGAATCGGCTCACTATTACAATAAGTCTTGCCTGCTGCCACTAGACCTCTTACCGCAAAAAAAGTTCCATACATGAAACACACTCCATAGTTGCCATACCATGAACCATCCGGCATTTGAAAGCTTTCTATGTATTTCACTCCCTTTGTTATAAATCTTTCAACTTCTTCTGTTCTATGCCTTGGAAATTGTTGCTTGAACCTAGCTAATGCTATTATCGCTGAACCCGTGCATTCTACATACCTGGTGATCAATCCGATAGCTTAAGTAAGCCCCGACCCAATATTCTATACTCAGCAAAGAAAGAAAGAAAGAAAAAAAGAAAGAAAATACTCATGCTCGATGGTTGTGTTTTCCATAAACTCTACTGGACTGAGCCACTGCATTGAATTGAGGCAGTGTTACACTATATCACTCTGTTTTCCTCATTTAAATATAAATGGAAACTTGAAACAAGAAAGATAAATGAGAACAACTAGAGTATGAATGTCAGTATTATTACCTCTAGCCACGTTTTCCCAAGGGCTGGCTCCCAAGCTGAAATACCTCCATTTTTGCTCTGTTTTGATTTTTATAGTTGTTATAACAAAATTTAAGAGAATTTGTTACAACAAAAACCAATAATTTTCTTAATGAAATTTCAGTTTGTTATTTACCTGCAAATAGAGAAGAAAATTGACAGCATCATAGAGTCTCTCTATATCCATTTTTTCACCAATGATCTCAGACGACATGCTTTCAAAGATTAAGCAGCACTGGAGGAGGTTACAATTAATTAATGAATATTGAGTGGGATTGGAGTCAAGAAGTTTATTTGTTAAGAATTTTGTAAATAAAAAAACTCTGCATATATACCTCTAAACTCTCAGCAGTGCAATCAGAAACAGGCCATCCTTGATCTTGGTCTGAAAAAGTCCATCCACCTTTTGTAATGTGTCGGAACATTTTCATATGGTCACCAGGAGGATTTTGTGTAAGCTGAGATTTCTCCAAGAATTTGTATCCCTTCACCAAAGTCGATCTAATAACCTCATCATCAACATCAGCAACAGCAGCTAACATGACTTGGAGCGATAGGGATGTATCCCATAACTGGCTACCAAAAGACTACACAAGTAAAATTCATTCTTAATAATGTAACTCATAGTTTAAGTGGTAGAAGAAATTAAAGATAATTATACTCAAATAAACAGGTTTTAATTAACCTGGATTTTCAAACCATCCTCCCCAACCCATATGTAATCGGGTACTCGAGCAAGATGTTTCTTAAAATAATCACCGTCGGGGTCTTCTACCCAACAAGCGAGCATATGAAACGGCTATTAACAAAAAAACAATACAATATTATTTTTCATATTGACAATATATATCAAGAAAAAAATAAGTTTTGGAATGTAAGAAAAAAATACCTTTTGCACACATCCACCAGTAATGTAACGGGTGGCTTCGTCATGGTAGTGAATGAGTTCCATTGCTTTTCGGAGAGCTCTTTGTCTTATGAGTTTGTTGAAAGGCCATTGGTTTAAAACATTTTCTGAGAACATGTAAACACTTTTCCAAAACAAGTCTTGCACAAATGATTGTGGATAGTATAGATCTTCCTGCATCATCATTTATGACATCTAATTAATCCTTTTTATTTATACGGTTCCATTATTATTATTTTTCGTTTAAGTTTACATTTCAGAATAAGAGAGTGTTTAACTTAAAATAAAATTAAATCACAATTTTTTTTAATTAAATTTTTTCGGTAAAATGTAAATTCCTTTAGCATTTTTATGATTTATTTTACAATTTGCACAAAAAAATTGATGCAATTTTTTTTTAAAATCTTTTAACAATAAGCAGAGACAAACATGTCTACGTATAAATCAAGACACATGAGGATAAATTACCTTTGCGCATAGTTGACGAGCTTGGCTCCAATTGATTTTGTTGTAAGGCTGAGGATAAAGCTCTTCACGGAGCTGCGCAATTAGAGGTGTCGGGCTAGCAACAAATTTTTTGCCATACAAGTATGACAAGGCCATGAAGATGTCCCGGAAATAAATCCATAGAGTACCTGCACTTGTTAAATTACGACATGAAAGTTAGTGGACCGACTCACTACTAACTCAAGAAAATGTTATCATAGATATTCATGTTGAACCTGCATTGATGGGAGAAGAACCAGGGAGCATCCAAAACTCAGGCGGTATCGGTTTGCAACCAGACCAATCATACACTCCAAGAACCTGTGTATGTGAGCAAGTGAACTAACTGATGAAGTTTTACTAGTTAGAAATCTAATATTTTAAAGCATGATAGAAATAATAGAAATATTTTAGTAATCATGAGCTTGCAATCAAAAACTATGTTAGCAATGAGTGGAAAGATCCATGCCCATTATATACAAATGTTAGATACATACAAGTCAGTGTGACATTCTAACAAAAGATATACATACCGAAAGCCAAATCTTTCCGATCAAAGGCGTATAGGTGGCACCGCCGTGGTCGAGGATCCACTTTCGAGCTCTTGCACAAACACTTTCTTGACCATCATGGTCAGGTTCTATCCCAAAAATTCTTAGACAGATGTAGTTGATGACCGTACAGAACATGACACTTTGGCTTTCCACATGTATTCCCCATCCACCGTCATCGTTCTACAAATGAAGTATGGTACGAACGAATATGATTTACATATCACTCCCCCAAGGTTTGTTCTAGAACTATTTACCTATCTACGTATATATGTACATATTTGTATACATATATGCATACGTACCTGATGGTTGTACAAGTAACGCAGTAGCTCTTTACGATGCTCCAATGAGAAGATTTTATCCAAGTGCCCAGTGATGTACAAGCTTATGACCTGTGAATTGTTTTTAACGTTAACTAAATACATTATTAATTTTGTTTCTAAGAGTCTGTCACTAGCTATACTGATAGATGTCTAAACAAAGTATGTGTAACTCACAAAGGGAGCTTCGAAGAACAAGGAGCCAGAATTTTCAGCAGGCCAATGTCCATCATCAGCCTGCAAGGCCGCAAAATAAAGTATCCCTCTTCTAAGTGCTGTCTTGGCGTCTTCATACGTTATCTTCTGTGCATCCTCTATTATCACTCGCGGAATCTTCTGCTCGAATTTCTTCTCCCTTAAAAACTATACGTAATAATGTTACAAAATAAGAAGAAGAAAACAAGCATATTGTTAGTTATAGTAGTTAGAGCATAGATGTACTAGTCTAACCGGATATGGATTATTTTTTTGGTAAAAACACATATTAATTTACTATCCAACACCGAAAATTGCATAGCTTAATCTTGTGGCGTAGATAAAATATTCACTGCTATATCCTTTTAATTTTCAAATATAAAATCTGAAAACTCTGGTTACTATATTATAATAATTGTGGAAGTGTCCGGATATGGATTTGAGTATGGTGTTGTACACGGAAATGGATGATCTTTATATAGTGTCTTAGACTCGTAAAATAATATGGTCTTAAGACCCGGAACTATACGTACATAATAGATAATACCCAAAAAAAGAAAGAAAAACAGTAATGTAAAAAATTTCACCTGCATGCGCCAAAGTAGATCAGCACTAGGCTTGAAACGAGACGGGTTGCTAGAGAAATTCTGTCGAACCTTATTGACCTCAGCGAGTTCCTCAGGAGAGCATGTATTTGCATCAAACTCCCAAATCTGCCTACCGGCATAATTGTTGGTTGTGAACAAGTGAGTCTTGTCTTCAGCTTCAGCTGCAATTCTCAGCCTCCACATTTTGTATCAATCTTCCCCTAGTCTTAGGTAATCACTAAGAACAAGACATTTTATGTGTATATTTTGTGAAATTTAAGCGCTTATATGTTTGTCCTCTCATTATGGAAAAAAGAAACAAGTAACACCTATTTATATAGTTCAACACATATATGCAGGCTCATGCTTACAATTTTTTTTTTTTTAATTGGATATTGTCTATCTAGTTCGTGGAATGGATGCTTATTTTAATCTATAAATGTTCCTGGAGGTAATTACGCTAGGTTTTCTTAAAGTAGACAGGATCAATAGCTAGAGTCGGATTTTTTCTTCTTTTTTCGGGTAAAATATTTCGTATTAAAAGTAGACAGGATCTATAGAGTTGAGTTTTTTCTTCTTTTTTGGGTAAAATATACTAGTATAATATCAAGTGAAGGACCGCCATAATAAAAGAGTTAGGAAGTCGCTAAATACCAAACTTGACGAGTTACAGAGTAAATGATGGTGGTTGTAACTTGTAACCACCGAAGCGACAACAAATTTCCATAGTTATATACTCCTATCATACCATTAAAAAAAATTTTTTTGCATAGTTATCATTATGTTCTTATCTCAATATTGCATTGATTAGCTAAGCTAAAACCAAGGAGGCCATATATTATAAACTTAATTAAGATTAATTATATCTCCCAACTATCCTAGCTCTAAACCATAAATGAGAAAATGCCAAGAATTCTTGAATGCATATACAAATCGTCACCTAAAAACACAAAGACTACTAGTAGTGAGCTGTCATATAACACACACCATCCAATTTTTTATATATTTTTAATAAATAGTAAGTATTCTTTAGAGAGGTCATTGCAATTTGTAATTAAGCCTTCCGACTCTATAATGTTTGACTATGGATAGATTTTTGCATATCGGATATCAATCTAAACCGGGATTATATGGTTGAGTGAGGTGAACCGATTAAATGAGACAGACTTGTTCTGAAAGGGAGGGTTTGATTCAAAAGGATTGATAGTGTTCGACTCTCTTCATTGGGTACTTCCTTGTGAGAAGATCGAGACTTTCTGATGACAATTAATCTCTCGGATCTGAACTCGTGAAACTTTGGAGTGCTCTCTTCTTCTTTCTCTTCATGTGCTCTGCTTTTGACAAAACCGTAAATCTTTCTTTTTTGGATCTTTGTGGATTTCGACATGCGTGTGTTTCACGGTAGATACATTTCACTAAAATAGTGTTGATTTTTGCCATAAGGCTGAGGATAAAGTTCTTCGTGGAGCTGTAGAATGAGAGACATTGGCGTTACTAGAAACTTTTTACCCTACAAATAGGAAAACGCCATGAATGTATCCCGCAAATAAATCCACAGAGTACCTGAACACACATGAAACCTTTATTGCAACTTCTTATGTGAATACGTCATCAATGCTAAGTTCAGAAACTACAAGTATTCCCAATCATCGTCTTATCAAAATTTATTTCTGATGTGCTTGCTCTCTGTCTTCTCCTTCTCCTCTTTTCTGCTTAAGATTCTGTGTCTCTCTCCTTGGTTGATTCTTCGATATCAATTTTTTTGCTCGAGAAAAGGAAATAACTCAACACAGAAAAAAGGAAACAACAAATAAGATTTTTAGAAAAAAGGAAATTACCAAGATAAAAGGAAACAACACAGAAGAGAGAAAAAAAAAGGAGCAAACTTTTGAATCTCATAAGGAAACTATAAATAGAGCCTCCAATTGCTCTGATTTTTTTTTATCATTCTCTTCTTCGATTCATGCTTCTATTTCATCTTCGAGTTCTTCGAATCTCATGATTTTCTCTGGATAAATCTTTGCCGTGATGGAAGAAGTTGATGCTCTGATTCTTCTTCTCCCTTTCTCTCTCGATATCATCTCTCAGTCTCCGTCGTCGGACGAGGTTCAAAGACGTCGGATCTTGTTTATTCTATCTTCGATGCTCTGGTTGAGGAGGATCATGAGAAGCTTTTGCGTTCACGGTGGTGGAGAAGAAGGTGGTGACGGACGGACACGGTGGTGGAGAAGGTCTTGGATTGCAGTCGCATCTGCAGCCCAACAAAAAGCCCATTCACATGCTCATTAAAAAACTGAGGTCAATTTCTATCCTTTTTTAATTTTTAAAAGTTTTTTTAAATATTACAGCTTTTTATTTATTCTTTCTCACAGATTTTCAAATTTTTTAAAAACTTTTCATTTTTATTTTTTGGTTTAAAGTCCCTTTTTTTTTACTTTTAAATGTTTTGAAATTTTAAATATTAAAAATTTGGATACCAAATTTACATAATGATATGAAAACTAACCGGATTTTGGATCCAACATTAGTCGTTAGCGATTCCAAACATTCAACTTGTTTTTCCTATTATTATGTAGATTTAGCATTCAAGTTTTTAATTCGGATTTTTAAAATTTTTATTTTGCTTTTTTTTCGAACTTTTTTAGAAAAGTTCTATTTTCGGATTTTTTTAAAAATTATGTTTGTTTTTTTAATTTTTTTTTTAATTTTTTGGATATTAAATTTGCATAATGATATGAAAACTAACCGGATTTTGGATCCAGCATTAGTCGTTAGCGATTCCAAACATTCAACTTGTTTTTTCTATTATTATGTAGATTTTAGCATTCAAGTTTTTAATTCGGATTTTTAAAATTTTGATTTTGTTTCTTTTCGGATTTTAATTTTTTTTTTCTTGTGTCTGTTTTTTAAAAATTATTTACTTTTTTGGATACCAAATTTGCATAATGATATGAAAACTAACCGGATTTTGGATCCATCATTAGTCGTAGTGATTCCAAACATTCAACTTGATTTTCCTATTATTATGTAGATTTAGCATTCAAGTTTTTAATTCGGATTTCTAAAATTTTGATTTTGTTCTTTTCGGATTTTTTTAAAAAAAAATCTTTCTTATGTTTGTTTTTTAATTTTAATTTTATTTTTGTGGATACCAAATTTGCATAATGATATAAAATCATTTGTAAAGGTAATCAATTTATTTTCCATATACTTTTCTTTTGACATTTGGATGACTAGTAAAACTTGGAAAAAACATATAATTTGACCTTTTAAGGTTCAAATTTTCTGTTTAGTTTGGATTGAGATTCTTGGAGTAGATATCTGATTACTTTGACTGGATCTTCTTGTCCCTTAGTCTGGTCTCAATTAGTTCAATTCTTGAATTCGGCTTATGGCTATAAAGTTGCCTCATGAGAAGTGTAGGTATTGGTCAAGCTCAAACAGTGACTTCCCATTTGAGGCAAGAGTCACAACAGCCGATTTTGGTTGAATTACAATCTTTTGTTGGTTAGTATCCAAATAATCTCTTTCTGGCACTGTCTTCTTCTATTCAGTGTCTAAAATTGATCTAGGGGATCTAACAATATGGTTTAGGAGAGAACGAGAATTGGCTATGAGAAAGCTGATGACGTGATAAAGAATCTGCAGTGCCTCCCTCCAAGTGGCTTCAGGTCAGCTCTGAAAGAAATGGTTATGTATGATCTCGAAAAAATCTATTCCCCCCCCCCCCTTAGTTTTCCAAATTAAGTTAGAATGATTGGGAAACTTGCTTATAGTATATAGAGCACACACAAAAGGGGTTTAGCTGCTGTAATGCAGATAATTGTGTTGGCAGAAATTGTAAATATCTTTGTGTTGTCTTTCAAGAAAAACAGAGGATTTGTTTTTTTTTTTTTTTGTTAAAAGATAATGTTCCAGAAGTAAAACTAAAGATGCTGACATTGTAAGATAGTAATGATGATTCATCCCCAAAAAAAAAAGAAAAACAGATAGTAGTGATGATAAGATGCAAATGTGATCAAGTTGTTACGGACGCAGAGCTTGAGTATAATATGTGAGTGCCCAGAGAGTGAATATGTTCCTATATGTTGGATAATGTTGCACCACATTCATCTTGAACACTCCTCTCATTTCCTGCGAATTTAATATAAAACAAAATCAATTTTTTTCGTTTGGGTGTAGTGAGTTGTATTAAGATTTCTTTAGATTATAATCACCTCTTGGGGAAAATCACCGTTATCCATCTGCAAATTGATCAACACTTTGGCAGCACGGTGAACTGGTAACGGGTTTCGCTCCATCTGACCACCCATAATTAGACCCATTAGTGCTTGTCCTGTATTCACTACATTACTCTTGTTTCCTTCTAAAGGAATATATTTCTTGTTGGGGCAAGAGAGAAAACTCTCTCCCCAACCGCCTTCAACGTTTTGTGTGTTGAGAAAGAACTGAACTGCTCTACGAATCGCCTTGCAGTTACTATAAGTCTTTCCTGCAGCCACTAGACCTCTTATAGCAAAAAAGGATCCATACATGAAACACACTCCCCAGTTGCCATACCATGAACCATCCACCATTTGTAAGTTCTCTATGTATTTCACTCCCTTTACTATAAACCTTTCAACTTCTTCTGTTCTGTGAGCTGGAAACTGTTGCTTGAACCTGGCCAATGCTATTATCACTGATCCTGTGCATTCTACATACCTGATTATTCATCGATTCCATTTAAGCCAACCCCGACTCAATATTATATGTTCAACTAGAAAGAATGAAAAGACCGACAAAAAGAAAGTACTCGTGCTCCACGATTGTGTTTTCCATGAACTCCACTGGACTGAGCCACTGCATTGTTACACAATATTACCCTCTCTTTTTTTGTATTGAAATATAATCTTGAAACAAGAAAAAAAAAATATGAGAGATGCTAAACTAGTAATGTAAATATTATTACCTCTAGCCAGGTTTTCCCAAGGGCTGGCTCCCACGCCGATATACCTCCATTCTTGCTCTGTTTTTATAATTAATTTTGTACCAACATTTAAGAGATTTTGTTACAACAAAAATCAACATATATATTTTTTAATTAAAAATTTTAGTAGTTTACTTGCCTGCAGATTTAGAAGAAAATTGACAGCGTCATAAAGTCTCTTGACATCCATTTTCTCACCAATGATCTCAAACGGCTGGCTTTCAAAGATTAGGCAACACTAGAGGATGTTATCATTAGTTAGTATATATATCAACATGAAATCACAAAGTTTCTTTGTTACGAATTCTCAGATTAAAAAAAATCAGCAAACCTCTAAACTCTCAGCAGTGCAATCAGAAACAGGCCATCCTTGATCTTGGTCTGAAAAAGTCCATCCACCTTTTGTAATGTGTCGGAACATTTTCATATGGTCACCGGGAGGATTCTGTGTTATCTGAGAATTCTCCAAGAATTTGTATCCCTTGACCAACGTTGCTTTAATACTCTCATCATCAATAACATCAGCAGCACCTAACATGACTTGGAGTGATAGGGCCGTATCCCACAACTGGCTACCAAACGACTACACAAGTAAAATCCATTCTTAATGTAACTAAGAGTTTAAGAAGCATAAGAAAGACAAGTTAACCTAAATAAACAAGTTTTAACCTGGATTTTTAGACCATCCTCTCCAATCCATATGTAATCTGCGACTCTAGTGAGATGCTTCTTAAAGTAATCACTCTCTGGGTCTTCTATCCAACAAGCAAGCATATGAAATGGCTTAACAAGAAAAATAAAACATTACAAAAAAAAACAAGAAAAAAATTATTATCTTCTCTCATCAACAATTTATATCAAGACAAAATTACCTTTTGTAAAATGCAAAGAAATAAATACATTTTGCACACATCCACCAGTAATGTATCTGGTGACTTCGTTATGGTAGTGAATGAGTTCCATTGTTTTCCGGAGCGCTCTTTGTCTTATGAGTTTGTTGAAAGGCCACTGATTCAAGACATTCTCTGACAACATATGAACACCTCTCCAAAACAAGTTTTGTACAAATGATTGTGGATAGTATAGATCTTCCTGCATCATCATCATTATGTTTACATATTAAAATAGTGTGTTTGGTGTTTACAATCTTTAGTGTTTCTTTGTAGATTGTAAATTCCGTCTGCATTTGATGATGACCATATATATGTAATTTACAATTTACATTTGCACAAGTATAAATATTTTATATGTTAATAAGAAGAGTATATATAGTATGTCTTACATATAAACGCAACGTTTAAATGTACGACATTAGAAGCAATCAAGGCATAGGAAGATGAATACCTTTGCGCATTGTTGGCGAGCTTGGCTCCAATCAATTTTGCTATAACGCTGAGGATAAAGCTCTTCCCGGAGCTGTGCAATTAGAGGTGTTGTTTTAGTGACAAATTTTTTGCCATACAAGTATGACACAGCCATAAAAATGTCCCGGAAATAAATCCATAGAGTGCCTGCATTTATGAAATTACTTAGCTTTAGTGAAATTATTGGACCGACTCGCTACTAACTCAAGAAGATGATAGAACATAGAAATAGAAATTCATTTGGAACCTCCATTGACAGGAGAAGAAGAAGGGAGCATCCAAAACTCCGGTGGTATGGGTTTGCAACCAGACCAATCATACACTCCAAGAACCTGTGTATGTGAGCAACTGAACTAATTAATAATGAAGTTCTACTAAGTAGAGATCTAAAGTACTAAGGAATATTAAAGATATTAATTAATCATGAGTTTCCAATTAAAATCAATCAACAATGATTAGAGAGATCCATGTCCATTATATATTATGTTAGATATATACAACTTCATAATTTCCGATGTGTGATATTCTAACCAAATATATGCATACCGAAAGCCAAATCTTTCCGATCAAAGGTGTATAAGTAGCACCACCGTGGTCGAGGATCCACTTTCGAGCCCTTGCACAAACATTTTCTTGGTCAGGCTCTATCCCAAAAATTCTTAGACATATGTAGTTGATAACCGTACAGAACCAAACACTGTGGCCTTCCACATGTAATCCCCATCCACCATCATCGTTCTACAAATGAAGTATGATACGAACATAGATGAATTACATATCATTCCCTCAAGGTTTATCAGGTAAATTATTTATCCATATGTGTACATATTATTACACGTACCTGATGGTTGTACATGTAACGCATCAGCTCTTTGCGATGCTCTTGAGAGAAGATTTTATCCAGATGCCCAGTGATATACAAGCTTATGACCTGTGAATTTTTTCATTGTTAAATAAACTATTAATTTTGTTTCTAAGAGTGTTACTAGCTGTATTTATAAATATCCAAATATATGTGTGTGTAGCTCACAAAGGGAGCTTCGAAGAACAGGGGACCAGAATTTTCAGCAGGCCAGTGTCCATCATCGGCTTGCAAGGCCGCAAAATAGAGTATCCCTCTTTTAAGTGCCATCTTGGCGTCTTCATATGTTATCTTCTGTTCATCATCTATTATCACTCGCGGAATCTTCTGCTCAAAACTCTTCTCCCTTAGAAACTGTACGTAATCATGTTGCAAAATCAAAAACAAAAAACGAAGAAAACATTAAAAAAAAAGAAATTAGTTTCTACTGGTTAGAATATATGTTATAGACATAGTCTAACGGTAAATGAATAATATAGGTTTTTAGTTTTCTAGAGCATCTCAAATAAAATATCTCACTAATATAATATTAATATTTTTTGTTCAAAATAATTTTTAAAAAATCAATTTAAAAATGTATCTTCACTAGGATTTAACCCGTGGTACACCGCGGGGCAAATTTTTTTTCTAAAATTATGTTATTTTAATATTTATGGTTTTTGCCGTCAAAAAATAAATAAATATATTTATGGTTTTCTATTATAAAATATAAATTGAGTTTATATCATATATATTAAAGTTGTCACCGTTTATTATATCTGGAATATTTTTTTGTAAAGAATATTATAGTTTGTTGAATGTATAAGTACACTATTTGTATTATGTCTAGTTATGTGTATATTGTTAGTGATATTTTTTAATTTTATACCTCTTAGATTTCAAATTATTTTTATTACTAAAAGACATATACTAATTAATTCACTACCCAACACCAAAAATTGCATAGCTTAATCTTGTGGCGTAAATAAAATATCCACTGTTATGTTCTTCTGATTTTTAAATATAAAATCTGAAAACTTTGGTTACAATATATATAATTGTGGAAGTAATTTTTTTTTTACCCTAAGTAATGTCAAATATAGAAATGATGATTTGCCTTAAACAAACTCATACTTTTTATCTTTAATTTATTTTCTTTTATAATGAGCCCATAGTATGATCACAACATGTTTCAACTTCTCTCTGTATCTCTCACGTCTTTCTTGTGCTGGCATCGCTTGTGATATTACTTGGCCCAAAACATTACTTGGCTCAACTTCACCATCAGAAGAAGACTATTGTATTTGGGCCAGAAAAAGAAGACTGGGCCCATTATCTCATAAACTCTACCTTGGGCTCAGTCTACTTGTTTATTCTCTTTAACAGGCCCAACCCAACAAAACTTTTTTTCCTCTTTTACTTTGCTTCTTCCCCAACGATGATAACGAAGCATCTTCTTCGATTTCTTCAATGCAAAACTGACCATGATTCTGACAACGGTAACTCCGGCCAACACCACGTTCGTCAGCGAATTCTCGGGCAGGCTAAGCTTCTGAACCCGATGCCTACGAATCCTCTGTGGCTTTCTCTTTCTCCGTCGAAACCAAAATCGCCATTGCTTCGTCCTCGAAGCTAATCTCTTTCTTTTTTTCCGGCGATTCCCATGACGTCGTCCATCTTTATTGGTCGACGATGATCTCAAGGCTCACCATATAAACCGTTGTTTCCTACTTTCACTTTTCTCTCTTGATAGTGTCGGCTACGATTTCCGATTAAACTACTCGACCCCTCAGCGATTCCTCTGTCGCCAATCTTCTGTGATCTTAGGTACATCTAATCCCTCTCTCTCTCTATTGTCTCCTCATTATGACAATTAGAGATTAGGATTTTTTGAATTTCCAGAAATTTTGAAACTTAAAGTTCAGTTTTTGAAGCCATTTCAAGCTTATCTGACAAACCACTTCGTCTCCTCTGCTGTTCTGAGGACTTCATGTAACCCTCTCAACCGGAATCATCTCTTTCTTTTCCTGTCTCTGAATCCAAAGAGATGTGATGAGCTTTGTGTGTTTGATAATGTGATGAGAGGTAAAGCTAGAGAGTATTTATAGGCGAGTTCCGATTAAGTCAATAATCTATTGGTGACCAAGTAAAATTTATTTGCAACCTAAACTGAATTAGAATCAAATCTTTTGAATCGGATTTTTCAGGAATATTCACCAAATCCGTTTTTAATACAATCATATAGTTTCTGTTGTCGAGAGATTGTCGAGAAAATGGATTCAATATTTTGTGGAGATTTTTATGGCAAATAGTTGAGCATCAGATTTGAAATTTGTTTCCAAATCGTGGAGTTAATATTTTGAGACGAATCTTTAATATAGGAAATGCAAAATAGGAAAATGGAAATTGTTAATTTGGTAGTGATTAAATGCTAGCAAATATCTCGGAGGTTTTATTTTAGTAACTAATCGTGTAAGTTATATGGAGAGATTTTGGGAAGATTGTTAAATGGTCAAATATTTAATTCGAAAATTTAAATTAATGTCGTTTTTGGGAAGAAACAGAAGAGATCCGATGCTTAATATCCGGGTCAATCGTTTAAAAAAAAAACCCACCCAACCAATGGTATTCTTTGTAAATACTTCCCAACCCCAGGATTTATTTGCTAAAAGTCATCCAAAAATGTATATATAGATTGGTGAGATATTAGGTATCTCATCAATATAATATTAATATTTCAATTACATCTCTTAAATAGTACAATTACATCTCTTAAATAGTACAATTAAGCTTAAGATTAACCTAAGTCTTGGATCTATCTATACAAGAGGTTTAAGTCTTGGATCTATCTATACAGGAGGTTAAACCTAAATTAGGGTACATAAGATTAACATAAAAAGGACTATGAACGTATAAAATTGATGTTCATGATCACACTTTATTAAATATCAAAATGTTGACACAAATATCAAAATAAGATTTTTATAATCTCAGTTTTCTTAAAAGAAATAGTAATCTTAAGTAACCTTATGCATAATAGATCTTGATATATATATATATATATATATATATATATATATATATATATATATATATATATATATATATATATATATATATATATTTTATGATTTATATAATAAAATAACAACATACAAACTATTTAATTAATATTCTAAACTAAGGAGAATATGATTTATCACAAAAGATATACATCACTTATAGAAAGACGTGTCAATTTTTTGACAAAAGAGAAAGTTTATCATAGGTTTTTCATTTGAGAACAGATTCTACCATATTTCTATTAAAAAATATATCTTTAAGAAATACTCCCTCCGTTTTTATATAAATTATGTTTTAAGCTTTTGTTTTTGTTTTTAAATAGATGATGTTTTCAGTTTTCAATACAATATTAATTAGTTTTTTATTGATTTTGATGATTTATATTATGCAGATTATTTTTCTATTGGTTGATTAGATAATAAATGATGTTTTTGTTTAAAAATAAACAAAAATTAAATGATTTCTTAATATGTGACCTTATAAGACTGGAACTACCTAAAAAAAAGCAAGTAATGTAAAATATTTCCACCTGCATGCGCCAAAGTAGATCAGCACTAGACTTGAAACGAGGCGGATTGCTTGAGAACTTCTGTCGAACCTTATTGACTTCAGCTAATTCCTCAGGCGAGCCTGCCTTAGCATCAAATTCCCAAATCTGTCTACCGGCATAACTGTTGGTTGTGAACAAGTGATTCTTGTCTCCAGCTTCAGCTGCAATTCTTAGTCTCCACATTTGGTATCAATCCTCGTCGAGTCCTAGCTAATCACTGTGAACATTATAGTTAGTGTATATATATATGTTTGTATATTTGTATCTATGAACGAGTTTGACTACGTACCAAATCTTACCGTGATGAGCTTTTCCTCTCTCATTATGGAAGGAAACAAGTAACACCTATTTATAGTTCAAAATATGCCAGGGGTCATGCTTATATATTTTTTTTTCTATTGGATATTATCTATCTAGATTTTGGACGGGATGTTTATTTTTATCTAAGATGCCCGGAATTAGCTAGTTTTTTTTTTTTTTTAATTTAAAGTTTTGTTGATTTTGCCAATTTATAGGGATGATAAAACGGAACAGACATATATTAACATAATCAAGTGGATTCCGTAGAGGACATCTTGTTGCCGTACAATTATTTTTTTTTTAGTTTTTGGATTTTTGGGACCTGTTAACTAGGCCGTGCCTACATGAATATAAAAGAAACTTTCGTCTACTTTTTTTTTTTTTTAAGTTTAGTTATCTACTAATCTATATATAAATTTGGGAGACTCACAAAAATACCTTTTTTTAATATATTTTTTCAAAAATGCTCTTTTTGGCTGTCTATTTTTAAAAATACCCCTTTTTATGTACAAAATGACTAAATTACCCTTCTTTTAATAAAAGATATCACAAATATATAAGGAAATATAACAAAATTAGGTCCACAAAATACAAAATATTTTTTGGCGGGAAAAGTGATCCCGCAATTTTTTCCGCCAAAACACTTGTAAAAACTTGTAAAACTTTTAAAATACCTTGTAAAATTTTCCCGTAAAAATTTTTTTTGCGGAAAAAGTGATTCCGCAATTTTTTTGGCGTTAAATTTTTGGCGGGAAAAATTTACAAAGTATTTTAAAGGTTTTTTACAGGGTATTTATAAGGTTTTACAATGTATTTTAAAAGGTTTTACAACGTATTTATAAGGTATTTATAAGATATTATAAAATTTTACAAGCTATTTTATAAGGTTTTACAAGTTATAAGGTTTTACAAGTTTTTTATAAGGTTTTACAAGTTATAAATACCTTATAAAACCTTATAAGTACCTTGTAAAACCTTTTAAAATACATTGTAAAACCTTACAAAACACTTGTAAATACTCTGTAAAACCTTTAAAATACCTTGTAAATTTTTCCCGCCAAAAAAATTGCGGAATCACTTTTCCCGTAAAAAAAAATTTGGCGGGAAACTTTTTTGGCGGGAAAAAATTTTACGGGAAAAATTTACAAGGTATTTTAAAGGTTTTTACAAGTGTTTTGGTGAGAAAATTGCGCGATCACTTTTCCTGCCAAAAAATATTTTGTATTTTGTAGATCTAATTTTGTTTCAAATAAGGGTAAAATGGTCATTAAAAATTAAAAGAGGGCAAACTTAAAAATGAACTCTCAAAGGAAGCATTTTTGAAAAGGAGTATTGAAAAATGGGTATTTTTAACAATTTCTCTATAAATTTTTGTATAACACCGACGACCAAAAGTCCATGCATTTATGAGTCCATTTTTTTAGTATTGAAACGTGACTTTTGGGTCATAAAATTTATGAAGTCTTTTAAATTATAATCTAGTATTTTTCAAATTGAATTAAACATTGAAACAAAAAAAAATAGAGTAATTAATCTATTCACCTTGTTCTAAATCACTAATCTAAATTTTTTCCATGCAATTTTTTTATAGTACACATCTATCAATATATTATAATTACTGAAATAATTTAAATAATCAAGAGAAAAACAAATTGATCAAAAAAATAAGTAAATTTTTAAAAAAATATGATCAAAACATAAGTAGTATATTTTTAAAAACTGACAAAAATCACAGATTCAAAATTAAAATTCTAAACAAATAGAAACAAACATATACAAGACCATAATTTTGTATTTTTGACTACTTCCGAGAAGTTACTACATTGAATTGATAATTAATTTGATGATAAATTACCACATTAAGCTGACATTTTATTTTATTTTTTCCCTAACCTTTGTTTTAAAGGAATCCTTTTGATTTATTAGTGTTCATCAATTTTCAAGATGTCATCAATTATTCAACTCACTGTTTCCTTTTATTAATTTCTCTCGATTGGTTTAAAGAAATGTCTTCAATTCAACTCCTTGTTTTCCTAAAAAAAAAACTAGAATAAATAATTTATTCACCTTGTTCTCACTAACCCAAATTTTTTCGATGCAATTTTCTTTTCTCTATTTATAAATCGACAACATAATCAAGTTATAAGATTCCTTGTTATGATTTTTGCTTCTCATCTAATAATAGTAGTTTGTATTATTTTACTCAAATTTTAAACAAAAAAAAAAGAGAGAAATAATTGGCTATTAATCTACTATAGTAATGGTTGATTCGTGTTTATTTTAATCTATAAATGTACCTGGAAGTAACTACGCTAGGTTTGCTTAAAGTAGACAGGATCAATAGCTAGCTAGAGTTGAGTTTTTCAACATTTTTGGGTACAATATTCGTATTAAAAGTAGACAGGATCTAATAGAGTTGAGTGTTTTCTTCCTTTTTGGGGGTAAAATATACTAGTATAATTCCAAGTAAAGGACCGCCATAATAAAATATTTAGTAAGTCGCTAAAAACCAAACTTGACGAGTTACGTTGAGAGTAAATGATGGTGGTTGTAACTTGTAACCACCGAAGCGAAGCGAGTACAAATATCATACCAATAAAAAATAAAAAATTTTGCATGGTTATCATTATGTACTTATCTCAATATTGCATCGATTAGCTTAGTTAAAACCAAGGAGACCATATAATATAAGCTTAATTAAGATTAATTATATCTCCCAACTATCCTAGCTCTAAACCTTAAATGAGAAAATGCCAAGAATGGTTGAATGCACATACAAATCGTCATCTAGCTTAAAACTCAAAGACTAGTAGTGAGCTGTCATATACACACGGTAACACACCATCCAATTTTTTTTATATAAATTATTTAGAGCATCCATAATCCATTGATCTCATATGTTTTATAGCCAGATTTTTGCATATCGGATATCAATCTAAACCGGGAATATATGGTTGAGTGAGGTGGACCGATTAAATGAGACAGACTTGTTCTGAAAGGGAGGGTTTGATTCAAAAGGATTGATAGTGTTCGACTCTCTTCATTGGGTACTTCCTTGTGAGAAGATCGAGACTTTCTGATGATAATTAATTTCTCGGATCTGAACTCGAGAAACTTTGCAGTGCTTTCTTCTTCTTTCTCTTCATGCGCTCTGTTTTTGACAAAACCGTAAATCTTTCTTTTTTGGATCTTTGTGGATTTCGACATGCGTGTGTTTCACGGTAGATACATTTCACTAAAATAGTGTTGATTTTTGCCATAAGGCTGAGGATAAAGTTCTTCGTGGAGCTGTAGAATGAGAGACATTGGCGTTACTAGAAACTTTTTACCCTACAAATAGGAAAACGCCATGAATGTATCCCGCAAAGTAAATCCACAGAGTACCTGAACACACATGAATACAATCGTGTATCAGTATGTAATTTGAATTGTAAAGATTGTAATAACTCTTTTGATTTTTACTGTTAGTAGTTTACAGATCTCTCATATCTATTATATAAAATAGAGGGTTAGGTCGTTTATTATATCTTCAATTGTTGGTAGAACTCGAGAAGCAGATGCCCAAGGCTTTTCAACACATTTACTCGCTTAAGATGAAACTTCATTTGTCGACCAATTTTATTTTCCAGATTTGAAGAAGCGGTCATATATGTAAGAACTGACGAGTAAGATGCATCGGATCGTGACATTGATAGTTGACATTTTTGCTCATCTACAACAATGAAAGTTGTTTCCCACCCTCTAGAGTTCTTCCAAGATTGCCTAATCCTGAACCTCGAGCCACTTCTTTTGCTTCATTTTCTTTGTTTTCGCTTAAATCATCTAAACAATGAAAACATTGCCCCACTTATTAACACATGACACTCCTTAGCCTATCTATATATGCAAGCTAAGATGTTGAAATAATCGTTCTAGAGGGGTGGTGCAGCATTTCTGGACGTCGATGGTGCAATTAAAGATGTTGATGGTGAATAGAAACGAAGCAGCTTGTTTGTTGACATCGGTCTAGTTCAAACCAAACATATGTTTCTCTGCAATTATTGGGCTGAACTTTTCTTCACATGACATTAGGACCCGTACCCCAAACTTCCTCCAACCCGAAACGTATCTCTTTAATGCAATTTTTGTCACAAGAGTAAGGTAATAGTATGAGTCCTAGTGCGGTGTGAGCCCTTGGTTGAAAAAAAGTTCAACCTTGTAATTGCAGAGAATTTCAAGGATGAAAAGATGTTTTGGTTTGAACTAGACCGAGTTCAGACTAACAAGCTGCTCCTTTTCTTTTCACCATCACCATTTGTAAGAGTACCATTTACATCCAGAGATGTTGCACCACCCTCTAGAAAGGCTATTATTTCTGCATCTTTTCTTGCAGAGATTGGAGAAGGAGAAACGTGTGTTGATATAAGTACTTGAGCAATATTTTCCAATCTTCAGATGATTCAAGCGAATAAGGAAAACAAAACTCAAAATAAATGACACGCGGTTCAAGATTAGGCACTCTTGGAAGAAGTTAAAGATGGGAAACAGCTTCCATTATTGCAGGTGAGCGGAAAATCTCAACCATCAATGTCACAATTAGGTACATCTTACTCATCAGTCTAAGATACATGACTGCTTCTTTTACAGTAAAGTTCTATGGATTTGTATACTATACAAGTCAAGTTAGGATTGTCTTTTTTTGGTGTGAAGTGAAGCCTACCAAATCGTGACAAATTCTAGTTAAGATAGATCATAAGTTGGTATGTATGCAAGTATTTAATCTAAGTGGCAATTAGAGATCATGTCTTATAGATCTTTTATCCATTACAATAATTAATAAATCTATTGATCCTAAATTTGAAAATCTAATATTTTCCCCCGAAATATCGTTAAAGCTAACGGTATTCTCCCGTACGAAAATATTAGGTTTTATATTTGATGATGATCAGTGTTTGAAATTATTATAAGAGCAAAATAATTTTTGTTATTATTGTGATGTATAAAAATCTATAATTGCATTTCAATCAACAAACAAGCTAATTTAATTAAAGGGAAAATTGGAAATAAAGGATATCTACTTAAAAATTTGTCCATATACACTTTTTTTGTGAGATTGTCAGTCTGGACGATTTTACCCCTACAACCTAATTTAAATGTTTTTTTAAAAAAATAATCATAAAAACATGTAGATATACAAGAGTAGAGGTGATTTGAAGTAGAATTTTTTAGATTTGGTTTAAAAAAAGTTTATTTTTTTATAGATAAAGTTTCATCTAATTTTGGTAGAACACGTTTTCTAGAGTTCTGCGAAACTCATGTATTCTGCATTTTTGTACATGTTCTACATATTTCATACTAGATTTATGTTCTGAGAATTTTAGAAATTCGAAAATCATATATCTAAAATATTTAGAACATGCATTCTACATTTTCCTCTATGTTCTAAATATTTTAGAATAGCCGTTCTAATAATTTCTACATCTTCTGCCATCGTTAGAAATTGTAATCTTCGTTTAGAATGTAAATTCTACGATATTGCAGATTTCGATTTCTGTAAGTTTTAGAATACTCTAAATATAGAAAGTAAATCTTCAGAAAATAAAACAAAATATTTTTTTTAGATTACGATTTAAATGAATATTTATTGTTTAGATTACGATCTTCAAGATGTAGAAGTTGTTGTCTACGGTTTTTAGACTAAGATTAAAACCTAAATCGTTTTTTAAACCCTGAAAAGCTACACGTCTTAAACCACCACTTTCGTTTCTAAAAAGCTAAGAACACTTTTCCTTCAAATTTTTCCTTTTTTGATCAACGATTTCTCGATGCACATCTACGTAAAGAGTGGTGTGTGGAGATTGTATAACAAGGAGTGGAGATTTATTATTGATGAAAAAAATCGTGGGAGATTGTTGAGTTTGGAAACGACTACAACTTTTGAAGAGTTACAGGCGATTGTTGCAGAAGACTATGGAATAGAACAGAGTACAGTACTGCATCTATTTCCTGCGATGCAATTATTTTTAAAAACAAGTTAGTATTTATCGAAATGAATACGTAATCAGTCATGAAAAAAAAAATAGTAAAACTTACATCGTTGCCTAGCCATTTTTTTTTTATCAATCAGACGCTGAAATAGTGCATCAGTAGATGAGATGGACAGATTTTTGGAACTTCACGACTGCAATGAAGGTAAAACAAAAGGAATATACAATTATAAAATCAGGTATATTTAAAAGATATAAAAATAGAATCATAGGATTTACTTTACGTTTCTAAACCATGCTTCAAAAGCAGTCCATCTAGCTTCAGGTAAGTATACCAACAAAGTTTTATTTTTAAAATCAAATTTTTATTAATTTTGAGAGAAAATGAGGGTAAAATTGAGTTTTTTATTTTCAAAAAACCTATTTGACCAATCTACAAGAAAAAAGAATATATGGACAAGTTTTTAAGTAGATATCCTTTATTTCCAATTTTCCTATTAAATATTCGTGGGCTATCTTAGGGTTTTGTAATCTACCATCTAATAATAGATCATCATGTTAAAAGATTATAGATCTATTCGTGTAATTTCCTTATCCAAAAAGCATTAAGAGAAATTGAGAAAATATGTTGAGATAAACAAAACTGACCTTGGCCCATAGATTTAGCGGCATGATGAGTAGTATCTGACGAAAGCCTCCTGGGCTTTGTGATCCTTCGCACTCACATGAGAGAACGTGTTAAAAGATCTAGTCGTGTAATTTATCCAAAAAGCACTTAGAGAAAATTGTTGAGATAAACAAAACTGACCTTGTGGGCTTTACTGATCCTTCGCACGAGATATTAGACGTCTCTTTTCCAAGCATTCCATCTATGTGCTTACAGTTTCTTTCGTGGACAGGATCATATAGTGAAGAAGCGAGACACGAGTAAAAAGAAAAAAAACAGCTTTTTTTATTTGAGATTCTGCACATGTAAGAGAATGGATCGTTTATATGTTTGATGTAGATAAATATTGAGGAGACACGAAAGATTAATCAGCGACAGATAAAATGTGTGGGGTTGTTGTGGAAATTAAAATCAAACCCTAATTCATAATAATTTACTTTTTATTTTCATTTGAACAATTTAAGTTTATTTTTCTCTTACAGTCAACAATTGAGGGAAACATTAATGCTCTTTCCTTCTTGACATTATATTTACCAAATGATATTTTATTTGTTTCTAATTTAAATGATTTCATGAAGATTTTTTTCCTTTTGCAGCATATCTACTTTTAAAAATTTGTCAATGGCTATGCTTTAATCTTTTTAAGTAAGAGTAAAATATCTATAAATTAATTAATGTGGGGACTATGATATTTACTAATTTATAGAGTGATTAATTTTTATATATATATTAATTAACCAAAAGAACTAATTTAGAACTAAAGAAATGTATTGGTTTATCGAGGTATGGAGTTATCGGAGTATTAATTTATAGAGGTTATATCGTACGTTAAAAATGTTTTGCTGGTACGACAAATAAATATTTGAAAGGAAATGATGTGTTGTTCTTCATACAGTCTTAGACTAAAATAAAATCCCCATAATTTCAAAATGTACCAGAACAACAAATTAAAGTTATCAAATCAACATTATGTAAAGATGTCTATACCTTAGGCATGATTATGAGGACAAAGTAAATCCCAGATATTACAACATCAAACAAACACTGAAAACATTAATTAATTACTTGAAAGTTGAGATTGAGAGTTCAGACCATATTTAATCTTCACTTTCATGACTTCTTATAGATAGATCCAAACCAAATCTCATTAGAAGCATTCGATACTAAGCTCCTTGTTACCTTTTGGAAGTTCCTTTAGCTTGGCAACTGCCGCTTCTATCCTTTTCTTCTTCTTTTCGTCAGATGAGGTCTTAATCATCATCTTCTTCATTACTGTCTTTTGCATCACAAAACGCGAAGCTAGTGCAAATTGTTCTTTACTTGAACCGCTGAAATTGTGCATCCATATAGTATCCACGCGAAAATCAGCATTGGGAAACGGTTCTGCCTTCTCCCACAGCTTGTTATTTGCTCCACCTTTAGAAGATTTGCCTTCTTCCCCAAGAGAATTGTTATGCTACATACACAGCAAGTTAAATATTGTATCGGATCTGAATACATATTATAACAAATGTGGTTAAAGTGATCAAAGATCAAAGCATCCAATTAAAAATGGAACATGAAAATATGAAATGAACATACCTTAAATGATATTTCAAGTTCTATCATTTTTTCAGTCCAAACAGCTAACATTTTCCTTAGCACCTCGACTTCTCGAGGATTCTTCAAATCTAAACTCACAGATAAAGATGCAAGAAATGTTACATTGTTGAGAGGCCTCGCCATCCCACTGCTTTCGTTCTTCTAGATTCAAATACACAATTAACAAACATGTCAAACTAAAAAAATTATTTTTGTTTATATCCAAGTGCAATATAATTTCTTGTACCTTAGGGGGACATGAGATATTGATGCTGGTATGAGGAAAGAGCCTTCCTGCTACCCAATAGTTTCTACCAAACGGGAGTCTAGGGATTTCGAGAACGACCTTATCACTCTCACATAGGATATTTTCTATGGAGAGAATATCAAGACGAGTTGCACGCACTTCAATGCTATCAATTTGGTTGCATGAGATGGACAAGATCCTTAAATTTTTATGATCAATCTTCAAATGACCACTGGGGTTGAAGAAAATGATTTGTAGGATAAGAACCTCCAGGGAGGGGCAAGACGAGATGACTTCGTTGAAAACACCAATCTCAGCAAAGATTTGCAAGAGTTCAAGGTGCTTGAGATTCCTACAATTGTTAAAGGCATGTGCATCCTGTAATATGTATTGATATAGCGAGAGTGTTCTTAGCTTTGGGTGGTAGAATATCTCTGGGGAAAGCTTAAGCACATAGGCTTCAATTGTTGGTACGAGGTGACCATTAAAATTTGCAAGGATAAGATTTTTGGTGTGTTTCATACTAGTCAGTGATTGGATCCAAGAAGCAAGCGTTCCGTCTTCTAATTGGTATGAGTAATGGCATATTATGCAAGTCTCTAGATGGCCATTGTGATTGTTTATAACCTGAAAATGCAAAAATGATTAAGAATTCAATAAGAACAAACAATTACGAAAAGTCTATTAACATTTGCAGCAAATGTTTTCATCGATACTTGTATCTCTTTATATCTTATATTTGTTGAATCCATTAGATTGAATTATATACATAAACATGTAATTTTATGTATGCGTGTATTTATTCTATGTATATAAGGCATTAGATCATATGCTTCTCTAGATTATTGATCATATATTTGTTTTAAATGTAACAATTTTTTGCGGGAAATACCGTTATTGTTAAATTAAAATACCGTTATTTGTTGAAATACCGTTATCTGTTATTTTAAATTTTTTTGGAAGTCTATGATCTCATATTTATATTTATAAAATTTCTTATAAGTTTTCAAAGGAAATATATAATGATTTTCTTCTTTTAATCCAAATCTTTTTTTTTTTTATCAATAAGTGATTGAAAATTATAAGACAGAATATTGAGAGAGAAAATAAAAAGAACCTGGGTCATCAGTTGAGCGGCACGATCTAATAATTGTGGCAGAACAATCCCGTTGACGGTGATGGTCTTTCGCATGTCAAAGCAAAGATTTGACATTTCTTTCCATGTATCTACCCATCGTTTGGACAAAACACATGTCTTTATTGCTTCTTCTGTGGACAATTCTGATAAGATCTTGAGCAACATATCGTTAGGAAGCTTACATATTTGATCAGCATTATCGATTGCATCGATACTGACTCTTATGTTCGATAATATAGAGGATTCGTTTTGTAAGAGAGACATAAATGAAGAAGAGAGAATTATTTTGACTCAAAAACTAAGAAAATGAAATTATAGCTTATATGATGTTATTGTTGCAAAGAGGCACATCGTAACATATATATATATACACATAAGGCTACTCAAGTTAATTAATTACCTTCCCGTTTTTCAATTGGAGAATTTGGATTTTATTTTTTTGGTCTACGACATTGGCATTTGGCAAAATGAGAAAGAAAGTAAACATTTAATGGGCGTTCCTTCTTGACCTATAACTAGACAATTACCGTGTCATACGTGGAATAGTTTAGTTATATTAGATATATTTGGTATGAATTATGAAATGCATATTTATCAAATTTTATTTCGGCATCAAAATTTGTGTAGTTATTTTTTTATTTTGAAACTAAAGACCAAATATGTAATTCAACTTTATAGAAAACATTTAACAACCACATAGCACAAATAAGATTGCATGCTTTGTTGTTTTAGTTGATTACTATCACATATTCACATACTGATTTTTCTCTGCAATGTGCGTAGGTTTTATTTTATTTACGATATTATATACTAATCTATATATCTATATACTTATAGCTATATAGTTAATATTAAGATGCATATTTTGAGACATTATTTGATCCATAATCGCGATTTTAGGAGAGTGTCTGTTGTATATGAAGGCTATTGATCAGTATATATGTAAAACTTGGAACATAGGGAAAATTGCTTATTGTGACAATTTATTTTACTTATCTTGCGTTTTCTGTCAAATTCATTTTGAGTTTGTAGATTTTGTCAAAGTGAACTGCGAACTACAAATACGGCTTTAATGAAATTATTAAGTATTTACTACTAGTTTCTAAACTTTTGGTCATTTACTAGAGCATCTGCATTTGCAGTTCCTCCAAAGAGATGATTATACTGAGTTTTATAATTAGCATCAGATGTCCGATCGCCAACTATTCCTACAAGTAAATAAGTTACTTGGTCATAGTCTTCTTATAAGCCGAAGTCCAAATAGTTAAGTGGTCCGCACAGAACAAGTTTGTTTGCAGTGGAAACTGAAACATCAAATATATATGTGCGAGTTAACGTCGTCCTAACCTATAGGTTCTTTGGTGAAATTGCTCCTCCTCTCACAACTCACAAGTCCAAACAAAATCTCTTCATCACTTGAGTTGACTTGAGTCCATCCTTTGTTACTGTTTTCAGACAAATCCAATGGTCCCCATACTCAGCGGCTGCTCTCATCTCCTTCGACAAGTCCACATTATATTTTATATTGATTTGTACTATTTTATTATACAAAATTAGAAACATTCAGTAAGACATCGACACATCGGGTTATTATGATTCATTTTATTATATTTTTTAAAAATCTCGGTAGATATTCTAATGAACTTATGAAAGTGATAAAGATTAAATGATAAATTTACATTGCACCATTAGTTGAATTAGGTATAGTGAACACTGATTTTCTCTAAATAAAAAAAAAATATATTTTTTTTTGTAGAAAAAATATTGTCTTTTTTACCATTATTTAGTTGAATTTAGGTCGCTTCTTAGTTTTTTTTTTTTAATTGTTCAATATTAGTCAATAGTCAATTACTAATGTGCCTTTTTAAAAATAGAAGTCCTCATTTTTGTTTGTTTATCAATTTTGCTGACTAATTGATATATTTACCATAAGAATTAACTTTTTTTAGGCAATTATCTCTGCTAAACTTGGCAAAACATTTATCAAAATCCACATTTAATACCTCAAAGCATTTCATAATTGTCTTGCCAACTGAACCCAATTATCAAAGGTCAAACTTGTACTAACTTTAACAAGTCAAAGATATTAATAACTTGTACTCTATTCTTATCATCTCATTGCCTAAAAATGCAACTATAAATACCCCATACACCAAACATACCAATTCGGATCTACAATATTCATTTAAGTCTTCTTTTTTTTTTTTTGGTTTTTCATTAAAGTCTATTCAATCATGGAAACCGGTTTAAACATCTTAAAGCTATCGCTATGCCTCAGCCTAGCCGTGGTTGGATCATATGCTCAAGCTCCCGTACCATTTAATGGGTTTCGTCCTGGAACATGTGACCACTACGAGTGCCCCACCTATAAATTGGTAGAGGCCGGATACGGCTTTGAGATCCGAATGTATGACGCTGCGCTATGGATTTCTACTAGTCCTATCCCCGCCCCATCCATGACTCAAGCCACCAAAACCGGTTTCCGACGGTAACTTACATGTCTCAATCTAATCTTTGTTATATATATAGCCTAGGGTTATCTAATCCAACTAAATTCACTCCACAATTAGAAAAGAAACAAGCCGGAAAATGAATAAACCGGATAAGATTTGGTTTTCTAATATAGATTATAAACCAAGTGTGAGTAACTACTAATAAACCTGAAATTGAATATATTTTTTTGGTTTATAGATTATTTAGTTACATACAAGGAGATAACAAGAGCAAAGTGAAGATGAACATGACAGCTCCGGTGATCACACAAGCAACGCCGGGAAAATCAGTCTACACGATCTCCTTCTACCTCCCGAAGAAGAACCAACAGAGCCCACCTCCGGCCGATGATCTCCACGTGCAGTCATGGAAACCAACCTACGTAGCCGTGAGGCAGATCGGTGGGTACGTGTCGGACGATGTAGCCAAGAAAGAAGCTGCGGCTCTGATGGAAAGCCTCCAGAGTTCTGACTGGATTTTACCCGTCGAGAAGAGCAGAGGAAAGTCGCCGGCGTATATAGTCGCTGATTATAACCCGCCGTCTCAGACCACGGCTAGGGTTAATGAGATCATGGTCCCATTTAACATGTAATCATGTTAATTAATTACGCCCTCACGATTTGATTGTTACGTTGCAATTGGATTAGAAGAGGTGGTTTAGAACCGAGACTGTAACAGCAGCTTCTGGTTTAACCGTATAAATTGTATCTCTGGTTATTAATATTGTTATTTGTTTTATCTATTGACTATTTGTAAAGGTGGGAAAAACTGTAACCAAAAAAAGTCTGAAAAATGATTAAATAGAAGTAAAATTAAATTGAAAATCAAGATCTTCTGGTGTAGACCTTCGAGTGGAGTCGTCTCTCCAAACATATGGATTGCATAGAAGCAACCAAAAGCCTACATGCAAGTCATTTTTCTAATCATGGGAAACATCTCTAATTGGAATTATATTCTAGCAAAAATCTAGATAAGGAACTACAAGAAACCTTAAGAGCGCGTGAGCATCTTCTTGACTCCAATCACCAATCAGACAGCATATGCGAGAGAACTCTGCTTGCACAAAGCGGGCCACCGTTTTCTCTAAGCATCATTACATGTTGTTCAAGTTCACACTTCACTATGAAAGAGTCTAACAAACTCCTCATATGGTAATAGCATCTGAAAACATAACAGACAGAAGAAAAAAAAAGAGACAAAACAATCTTTTAGCTTTTTGTGAAGATCATCATGCTGTTCATTAGTATTAAGCTTTGTAGACTTTCTTAAACCCATCATCTTCATAATATCCATGGTTTGAGATGCAACTGCTGTCTCTGGAAACAGTCTCTACCGTATAAACAAAATATGAACACTGCAAAAGAACTCATATGTCAAGGCTTCTAGGAGACATTCACTTGATATTTCAGCCACTTGCCCCTTCCAGCTTGAGTCTGCATTGATGTTCTCCAGATTTGTTGACACCTGAGTTGGGCAGTTCAACAGTTATGCATCGTAGAAACTTCCAAATGTCAAACTGAATCAGTCTCCACTAAGGTAATTTTTATGAGTCTGATACTAGGAATATGTACCTGTCCAACAACATTATGTTCCCATGTTGTAAAAGACAGGTTTCTTTCTTTTATTTCCCACCTTTTGTAGGAAATTGAATGTTTGAACAGCCAAAAGAGTTTCTACCTTCCAAATCGCTCTCATGTTGTTTGCAACTTTCCTGCATACTAGTTGCTAAAGGTTGTCCATTCACTCGCATGCAAGAGTTAACAGTATTTCATGAGGGATTTTCTTCCACGGCATAGCCTTTGCTTTTCGACTGCTAACAGGAATCCACAAAAACTAAAGTTACGCACAGTTTTAACTTTTAACAAGAAAGGATGGTTTTTCTAATTGGTTAAAATCACCCTACTAGTGTACTTCACATAATAAATACGCAGAACCACTGATGTTTACCGGAAAGGCGGAACAGTAGCTAACCTCATGTTTACCGGAAAGGACGGAAGGAATTTCATATCAGTCCCTCATGTTTTCAAATAAACAGTAGCTAACCTCATGTTTTCAACACTTTACAGGCCCTTGTCTATGATTTAACTCAAGAATGATTGCATTTAGTTTGAGATTTTTTTTATTAAAAAAAAGACTCAGGTATACACAAATAAATATTTAAGGACAACTCACCTTATGTTTAAAGTGATCCCCTTTCAACATGCTATTACTACCGCCACCAACTCAGGCTGCTTCTCCACCAGAAAATTCATTGGAGGTACCAAACCTGCGAACATCGTCCTTTCTACGCGATTCTCTGTTGGCCTTCTTGCATTTGAACTGAGGCGCATTGTCAACCTGAGAGCCACCCAAGCTTGCGAGTTCTTCGTCGCAGGAAAGCTTCCCAGTGGAAGTAGAACAGTACTCCACCGGGACACATTCATCCTTATGAGATAGCCTCCAGTGAATTGTTTGGCACTCCCCAGAGCTACAGATGTTAACAATCAAGAACTACTCAACTTCGGATTATATAGTCAGCAACTTTTTATAAGCTCAGATTATCAATCTAAAACATTTTTAAGAAAATGTATCTGAAACCAAACTTAAAAAATATACCAGTATCTAACAGATTTGCATCTTGAGCAGCGTGTCTTAGCAGGACTTAAGCACCTTGCACATACATGTAACTCTTTACTCTTGGAACATACCATAACTGGGACTCCACTCGCAGAAGCTACAGTCTCGGCTCGTGAAGACCCAATCGCAGCAGCATCCACGGTCTCAGCTCTTAGAAATCCACTCGCAGCAACTACAGTCTTGCTTCTTAAAACCTTACTTGCAGCGGCCATAGCCTCAGATCTAAGAGCTTCTTCAGCTTCCATCAGAGAGAGATAGTTAATCACCTTCTTTCTGAGGCCTATAATAATATGTAAACTACACATAATCCATAGATTGATAGAAGAGATAAAAATCATCATCAAACAAACTAACACTCCAAGGAAAAGAAAACTGATCCGTAGAGATCATTGACACAGCTACCTTAAAAGCATACACGAATAGAGCAAGAACCAAAAATTCAAAGAAAATGTGAAGCATCCCAAAAGCACTTGTGTTCACCATTTTAAGGCTCAGCCACGTATCAGATCAGAGTATGTCCCAAAGCAGAGATGAGATGGTATGCTTTGGAGCACGCAAACAAAGAGCAAAATCTCCCCATTTAGAAGCTTTAGTGACAAAGCAAAGCCATTGAGATAAACCCATCTCCTAAAAGTTGTTAGATTGATACAAACATCGAAAACTAGTATGAAATAACTGTCCATTGTCTTACTCTCTTCAGCACATTCCCTAAACAAAACAAAACAAAAAGATAACTTTTTTTCTGATAACCCACCTGAGGCTACATACTCAATGGAACTCACACAGCCCAATAGAAAACTCAAATCCGCAGAGAACCTAGCACATTCTTTACCAAGCCACTCAAAATCACACTCCTACGACCGCTTATGACGACCAATCTAACTCCTCATTGCTCTCAAATCTAACATCCAAGTAACACCCATGAACCCCAAAGCCCTTGCATATAAACAAAATTTCACTTTGATACAAATTAGAAACATCCTTAAAAAAAAAAAGACCCGAAATCGCGTTTGACATACCTTATTGACAACGATGAAGACAACCAAAGACTTTCAGTATCTTGTTCAAGTTTTTTTTTTCCCTTGTATCTCCGATTCATTAATTGCAAAAAAAAAAAACATGTTCTTATTTAATATATACAACAGATTATTTTGCACATATAAAAAACAATTTGTAAAAGTAATCAATTTTGTCAAAAGAGAAAAAGTAATCAATTTATTTTCTATATACTTGTTACATTTGGATGGCTAGTAAAAAACTTGGAAATTTCAGATTTTTCGTGTCAAATCATATGTTTTGATTTTTAGTAAGTTCTAAGTCGACCTTTAAAGGATGTTAATTATTAATTTGAAAGTAATTGATGTTAACATGATAGTGAGAGTAAGGGGGTTGTTATTCAATGGTGGAGTTAAAGTCAATTATTTAAGGTTTAGATTTGTTTTCTGATATTGGTTTTAAGAATCTGTTTGTGTGGATTTCAAAATCTCTGCAGTATATCTTAGATTTTGATTCTAATAATTTACTTATGAAACTCCAAAGAGGTTTCATTTGAAATTACTTAATATACAAAGATTTTACAAGTCTTTTAGTTTTGAATAACACTGGATTTTACAAACCTTAAAGAATTGACTTTAACTCCACCATTGAATAACACCAAACTTTTAAAATCTAATGAAGTATAAGATCTAATAACACCAGATTTTAACGTTAGATTTATAATCATTAGTTGAATAACATTGGATTAGTGTTAGATTTCAATTCTATTAAAATCCATCTTTGAATAACACTACCTAAGATTTACTGATTTATAAAGAGACAAGAGACAACCCCTTAGAGTTTTCAAAACAGTGTCATAATGCAAAAAGGTTTGAAAATGACACTCCAAAATAAACACATAATTGTATAATAATGATCTTATTTTCTTTTGAAAACGCTACTCAATCAGATTTAAGAAAATAAATAAAACTGTAACTTGAAAGTTGTGTTATATTCGAGGGTTTAGGTTCACTCTTTGTCTTTGCTTTCCAGATCTATTTAGATTGGATCGCGTTTTAAAAGTTTCTATCTAAACGTTATTGGACGTACCATACGTTGTCCTCGCATTCAAAAGCATGTTTGAGGCTCTTTTAATCATTTTGTTTACTAAATTTTGAAGTTTTTGGTTCTAAATTTCGAGAGATCAGTTTTCATCGTGATAGATGTTATCTTTAGGTTAGCCGTTGATACCCTTCATAAATCTCCTTCACATAAGCTTCATGAAAAGATGTTTGTTGGATTCTTAGAGCAACCTCAACGGTTGACATAGATTTTTGAGTTTCTTATAATTTAATATTAGTATTTTAATATAAAAAAAACAGGCCACTAAAAGACAGAGAAAGGGAAGAATAGAAATCTTTAGAAACGTAGCTTAAATACCTTAATAAGACACGACTCTTGTTCTCTCTTCTTTTTCTATTTCTTTTTAATATTTTAATATTAAAAAATGTTGTAAGAGATCTGTGTTGCGGATGATATTAGGTCTAATGGGTTTCTTAGGTTTCAAGCCTTTTTGTTTATGTTCTTAGTTTAAGGATTGTTCTCTTTCGATTTTGGTTTGAAATTCCGTACTTTGTATTTTTAGTGTTTTTAGTTCCTCTTTTTAAGGTTTAGTTTTCAAGAAGAAATTGTTTTTTTCTGATTTTATCTCTGGAAACTGTTTTGTTGTTCGTCGGCTTTACTTTTTTCATTTTTATTCTATAGATGTGTCTTTTTCAGCATTTCTACAGATCGTTTTTTTTGGTGATTTCATTTCTACAGATCGTTAATAGGTTAACATTATGATTTTATACAAAGTTTTTCATTATTGAATTTTTATTTGGAAGAAAGAAAAATTAGGAGTCACTAGTCAGACAGAGGCCATATAGGGACGTGGCATATGGACATTCCCCGCGTGGCTCAAAGCCACTTGATACAAAACATGTCATAATGTAGGGTCATTTTCTTCGTACCATTCTCTTGAAGATTGTATAACATCTTTATTCTCAACCGTTGGATCTAGTATGACCAAGATATATTTGTCGATTTCCAAAAATTGTTGGGACCCTTTTTTACGATCAAACTGTATAAGAAGTTTTTTTTGCTTTTTGTAATGTGATATTTTGAAGAAAAATACAGGGTAGGTTTTTTGACTAACGAAAAATAGAAAGAGATTAGAAGGTAAATATTAAGAATTTAAAAAGAAAACAAAATTAAGAGAAATAAATGTCAACAGTAAATATATCAATGTTAAAAATAAATTTTAAGAAAATGTTACTTATTTAGCTATAATATCTGTGATATTTTTATTTTTAAAAAGGTTCTTTTTTTAGAAAAAAAAGAAAGAAAGGTTATATCTTATTATATTATGGACACCCTACTATCCAAGAACTACAACAAAGTAGCGGATCGCATAACAAAAGAACAATTACCTCTAAATTCTAAATTTGTATTTTATTATTATGTTCCAACTTTTAATTGTACAACTCCTCCATGGAGATCCCAACAATTCTTAATCCATGAAAGCCGCTGTTTAAACAAACAAAAAAAGGTTATATCATCTATTGTGAAATAGCCCGAAAAATCGGCATTTTAAAAGCCCAAAGAACGGTTGGTTCGTGCTGCTATCCAAATCGTTGGAGGTTCGTTGGAGACTTGTAGTGGATCTATACAATTATACTAACAGAAACTAAATTTTAACCTGCGGTACACCGCGGAATAATTTAATTTTAAAGTTAGTATAAAAATATTTTGTAAATTGTATCTCTTTATAATATATTTATTTATATTATAGTTTACAATTGTTATTAAGTAACAGTATATCACGAGTCTACGAGACAATTATTAATAAACAGAGGATTTAATCCGTATTAAAGCGGTATATAAATATTGATTCAAATTCGTCTGCCATATAAATCATTTCCGAAATATAATCTGTTCCGTAATTTCTTAACCCGTCCCGTGATTTGTTTTTATTTTAAAATTTAATGATTATTTATTATATATAAAAGTTTACAAATCATATCATCATCTAAGACCACGGGACATTATACCACGGGACAATTTTTGGTTTTATACAATCTTTCCTAAATGAGACTGATTTAATATGTCTAATATTTATGGTATTAAAAAAATAAGGATTTAATCCGTATTGAAGCGGCGGATTAATGATATTTTAATCTTTTTATTATTGTTGATTCAAAAATCCGTCCTGCCAAACCCGTCCGGTTGAAAAACTCATTTATTTTATTAATGCTCTTATTTATGATATGATTCTGAATCATTGTCTAAATATTTTAATCGATGTAGGATGTTGAACACACATTTTCATCAATTGGATAATATATGCGTTTTTAAAATTTCGAATCACAATATATGCAGAAATGTATTATATGATGATTCAAAACAATTAAAAACAAATCAAACAAAGATGATAGGAGAATCATAATTATAAATCTTAATCAAATCTTCTAAATATCTAAATTATTAAATATGGAATATTCGGTATATGAGTTGGGTTAAATATAACCCAATCCAACAAATTTTTTTGTGAAGAATTTTTTGTTTGAAATGGGTCGGATATCGGAAGCATTTTTACCCGCTCATCACCAAAGTGACTGAAAAATACTAGTATAGATTCAGAAAAAAAATTATGAAAACAGAAAGTACACAACTGTAAAAGAAAAACGTTAAAATATCAAATAAGTATTTTCTTAAACCAATGAAGGGAACTCGAGTGTCATTTTTGGCCCGATATCACTCACATAATTGAAGCAACCAGACACCCAAATATGTTGAAACAATTTGAAACAACCTTTAGATATTAATATATTATCCATACATTTTTTTTCTTCCCCCAACCTAAATGAATTATTTTTGTGGGATATTTTATCGATTCACCTACTTAATATATAGATTGGATTGTACCGCTTCTTATCAGTATTCCACGATGTCTAGAGAATTCAAATTCAAACGACCACCTTGACAAATTATAAAGCAATCATCTATTTTTGGTAATCTTATAACCACATTGTTTATAGGATAATATAAGACACTTGTTGGAGATACAATCCAAGTCCCACATCGAAAGTTTGATGGGACAATCAATAATATATAAAGGGTTAGGGCCAATCCACTAATTGTCAATTGGTTTTTAGTTAGAAGCCCAAAATTAGCCCAAATTTAACATGGTATCAGAGCCCAAGGTTCAAATTCTGGTGGACCTAGAAAAGTGGATATGGACATACCTCAAACCCGAGTGAGGGGCTTATTATCGGTCCGAGTGAGGGATCGATGAGGTGTGTTAAGATCCATGTGGTCCTTGGATTGAAGGGGGATTGTTGGAGATACAATCCAAGTCCCACATCGGAAGTTTGATGGGACAATCAATAATATATAAAGGGTTAGGGCCAATCCACTAATTGTCAATTGGTTTTTAGTTGGAAACCCAAAATTAGCCCAAATTTAAGAACACTTTGGTGGGTCTTAGGTGGTGTTATTCAATGATGGATTTTAATAAAATTGAAATCCAACACTAATCCACTGTTATTCAACTAATGATTCTAAATCTAACTTTAAAATCTGGTGTTATTGGATCTTATACTTCATTAGATTTTAAAAGTTTGGTGTTATTCAACTAAAATTTAAAATACTTCATTAAAATTCAGTGTTATTCAAAACTAAAAAATTTGTAAAATTTGTAAAATTTTTGTATATTAAATCATTTGAAATGAAACCTCTTTGGAGTTTTATGAGTAAATTATTAGAATCAAAATCCAAGATATACGGCAGAGATTTTGAAATGCACACAAAGAGATTCTTAAAAACAATATCAGAAAACAAATATAAACCTTAAAGAATTGATTTTAACTCCATGATTGAATAACACCCCTTTAATCGTATAGTCCTTTTTTTTAATTGTCAATTATATATTTTTCGAAATAAACTAACCGACATAATAGTTTTTTTTTTTTGGCTATATACTGATCTCTACGACTTTACCTACAATTATATGGGGTTTAACTGCACACCAACAAAAAAAATATGGGGTTTAACCACCCCAAAAAATATTTATATGATTTTTTGGTC